TTGTGCTCTGGAATCTTGCCAGAAAAGAACTCGGTTTCTTGAAAGCACTCGGATAAAACTTCGCCTTGGAGCTTGAATTCGAATCGGATACAAGTGGTCGTGAAATATGATTTGAATCGGATACTATGAGCTGCGCGAATCTTCTGGTGAGCTGATCCGTTGCAGTTGTTGAAATAGGAACTTCTTTAAGATGGTCTGGATCTTCGAGGAGATGACTTTGAAGCTTGCCGTTGTTGTCTGCCTCGTAGATCCATGAGCCGAAGATGAAAGTTGATCCCGTCGGGAAGACTATGTTGTCGAGGTCCATCGAGCTCTCGGATGCAAAGTTGCCGAAATCCCCTACCTGGCGCGCCAGCTGTCGATGTTTGACCACTGATAGCCTGCCACGGGGGTACCCGGGGCAGTATTGTTCGGGCTTCGGCGTATGCTGAACTCGACGGTTAACGCAAGAGACAGTCGATTTATCCTGGTTCAGGCCCTCGATCGTAGATCGAGTAATAACCTTACGTCCAGTTGGTGTTTGCCTTTGCGTTGGATTGATTGTGATATGTTGTGTGTACAATCGTTCTTCTGAACTCTCCTCATCTACGGAGTCCTGCCCTCCTTTATATAGTCAGGAGGCTAGAGTCCTAGTCGATTTACAATGAGATTTCCTAGTAGGATTACCTAATAGTTCTACTACTAGGATTAACATGGGAAGAATCCTAGTTAAACTAGATTCTCTCTCTCCTGCGGGGTATCCTGTGGGTCCCGTATCGACAATAACCTTGCCCTTTGCATTGCATTCTAGCAAGTAAATAGTTTTTAAATTCTAAAATTTTTATTATTTGCTTGTTTTGGTCATGTTGTCATCAATCACCAAAAAGGGGGAGATTGTAAGGAAAATGGACCCTAGGCCCATTTACTTTGGATTTTGGTGTTTGATGACCAACACAACTAAATTGGACTAATGAATTTGTAAGTAATTGTTTTGTAGTTCAATAGGGTGCAAGACGTGACTTGGACGAAGGTGACATGATGATCCCATGATCAACACCGTCAGCAAGACCCTAGAAGCACAAGAGAAGACCCAAGATATCAAGCATAGTCCAAGCATGAAGATAGGAACCAAGCCGGACGCAAGATTGCTAAGAAACGAGCTTCATAGTGGTGACTGGACGTGGTCCTTATAGCGACCGGACGCATCCGATCTAGATGCTCAGCAAAAGCAGGCATCAGCAGTAGCGACCGGACGTTGAGGACTAAAAGTGACTAGACGCAATGATGGCACTGCTCATCATCTCGGCAACACATTCAGTACCGACCGGACACTGGTGGATAATCTACCGGATGCAGGAACTGCAGTGTCCGATTGAGTCCACAAAGGTTCCAGAGCGACCACGGTAGCGACCAGATCGTCCGATCAATCAAAGGATCGGACTTCGGCAAAGGCGTCCGATCAATGCGCGCGCACTCAACGGTCGGGGACGACCGGACGCGTCCGGTCGAGACGAAAGAAGCGTCCCTGTCGAAGAGTGTAAAGTCGGGTTTCACCCCCAACGGCTACTTTCTCGGTGAGGATTATAAATAGACCCCCCAACAAGCCATTTGAGATATGGAGAGTTGAGGAAACATACCAAGGGTGTTGATACACCATTTTAGTGATCTCCACTTGCATAGTGCTTAGTGATTCTTTAGTTGATTAGCGTAGGTGCTTTGTGAAGTGCTTAGGTTGATTAGACCACCGCTTATGTGCTTGCTCTAGGTTTAGGCCTAGTGTTTAGTGAGGTTTGCACACCTCTTACCACTCGGTCCTTGTGCGCACCATTATTGTACATCGGAGGGGCTTGTAGTCTTGTATGATCACACCAACCGCGTTTGTGGTGTGGCCGCCACCGTGTACCGAAGGGAACAAGGCCCGCTGAGGTTCGGCCGGAAGCTTGATAGTGAAGACAGCGTGGAGCGGTCTGGGAGATGCTTGCTGGAAGGCACACCGGAGACCCACTTGCGCATGGGGAAGGCACGGGGCTATCCACGGAGTTACCCGACCGGGAGCTTGGTCCTTGCGAGGGTCTCCAATGAGGACTAGGGGGAAGCTTGCGCGCTTCTCGATACCTCGGTAAAAATATTGGAGTCGTCGATGGGAGTTTGCATATCTCTACCTTACTCCTTAGCTTCTGCATTTACATTGTTTGCATAACTCCTTTTGTGGTAGAGATAGCAACACACTAGTAAAACCATAGTTGCTCATTTAGATAGTTTATCTTTTTGCAACGGTTTTGCTAAGGATAGAAAAAGATGCCATAGTTTAGAGTTGGAGTTTTGAGTTGCCTAATTTACCCCCCACTTAGGCGTCGCTGTCCCTTTCAACCGTGAGTATATTGTGTACTCGTAGAACTTAATTCCAACATATATATTTGGTGGATGAAAAGGGATTAATAGGCATTTGTACATTTGCATAAAAGCATGGCGTTTATTAAGAAATGATATGCTCATGATGCATAATTTATTTTATAACAATATATAATAAGTTTCAAGTAACATTGAGAGTATGGTTAAGTGATCGTCATCATAATTCATCTGATCATCAAGTTTCATCATTAACGCTACACTGAGTCTAGAAGTAAGAACAGCCGAAAATTCCGTCCCGAAGGACTTCAGGCTTTCAAATGCAAATGGGGGCGGTGAGCCAAGTACTTGGTGGTGACTCACTCATCGGGCAGATTCAGCGTGAGAGGTGACGTGGTGTAGATGAGATGTCGTTACATCGGTACCTATTCAAACTATTTGTCGATTTGAGAGCCACATTGAGGAAAGGTTAGAACCATGAGGCAACACCCTTATTTCAAGGGTTGGGGCAGCTTAGGCGAAAGCCATGCCATGCACGACCTTGTTATGCGATCATCGATGACACCCTACGGCATTGTTTACGTCCTTGGAGGCGTCAATTGTTGATACATCTTAACGCCAAGTGGAGGAATTCCGCAAGCACATAGAACTATCGTGTAGCACTTCGCTCAGTGAGTACCGAGTGTCAAATTTATTTTTTCCCAAAGGAAGGCGGGAGGCTAATTTATAGATGATCGTTAGGAATGCTAAAGGAAAGATGTGTCCTTAGCCGAAATAGGTGGATGGTAATGTTGTAAATGGATGGGTGAATGAATGGGTGAACTAATAAACAAGTTAAACTAGAGGTAGGATAGCTAGGTGGGAGAGCGAGCAATATCTTAAGTAACAAAGGTAAACTAATTGAATAGGAGGAATTTCTTAGTACTTCAAGGCACAGCCCGCCTACAAATAGGAGGGTTAAATAGACAAGGTCTGCCATAAGCCCTACGATTTAATAACTAGACCTAACATGATGGAATACAGAGAATAGACAAGGCTGTCACCACTTGCCAACTATCCAGAGGCCTAGCCATATCCACAGGTAATTTGTAGTCTAAGCACCTCGCTTAATCTATAAATTTACTACTTTAATCTGAACTCCGATGAAATGGAATCAAAGCATCCTAACCAGACAGTGAAATCGGTACTAACGAATGACTATTAAACAAATGGTAACCTATGATACTATGATAAGAGCAAGCACCTAAGCTCACTAATGATGAACAATAATGAACAAGTACTTGAACAAAGCAAAGCAATAATACTAAATAAAGTACTAAAAATAAAGTACTGAATAAAGTAAATACTAAATGAAAGAATTACAAAGGAGCTATACTAGACCCAAAAGACTCTTCCGAACTCCGAAGAAGCTCAGCTCTAGTTCTACTTTCACTCCTAAGCTACTACTCTATAGCTACTCTAAACTAGAGAGTTTGGAGAAGCTTGGAATGCTTGGAATTGGATAGGGCACTTCTCCACCGAGCACCACTGCCTCTTTTATAGTGTCTTGAGGTAGTGGGGGTATTTATAGGCCATCAAGTAAGTCGGTGGAGGTGACTTGGGCGTCGAACGACGTCGAGGGGCGTCGGGCGACGTTGGATTCCACTGCCTTTGCATCGTAGGGCCTTGATTAGCTGCCAAAGATGGTTACTTGGACAGCACATGCGAAGATTTGCTCAGGAAATCAGTGGTTAAGTCGGTGGAGCTCCTCAAGTGTATGATGGTGGATCCATGGATCTAAGGCAGCTCCATCTTGGCCCTTGAAGCAAACCGACATTGGATAACGCTGGAGAGGCCTTGTTGAGGCTCTCCCACGGATCAGTGACGTGGCAGGGCCACATGGGGGGCCGGGTGACGCCACATGGCGTCGGTCGATGTGGCCATGTGGGCCCTTGGCCCCCTGTCACATCCACTTGCCTCCCATGTGTATATTTTGCACCATTTTTGCTAAATTTCCTGCATACAAATAAATCTCCAAGTAGAAGTGGAACTAGGTGAATTATAAAGCAAAATCAACATATGTGATGATGATCTACCTCACATTACTTAACTTTTGGGTGAAATATTGATGGTAAAAATGGGTGTTAGTGACCGTCAACATCAATGTAGCCTCCCCACCCTATAACTTTAGTATTGTCCCTCTTCTTCCAGTGAAAACCTAACTCTAGATATTTGGAGCTGGTTGTGGCCGTGTCGGCGTCAAATTGATGGGTTTATTTTTGAATTATATTGTATAATGGTAGGTAGTGGTAATTTAGATGCAAAACTAGGGGTTGTTTTATGTATTGTTCATAATAATGATAGAAGTGAATAATTTTTTATGAAACAAAATAGACCCAATGATTATTATTAATGGTGATAGTTAGAGTCTGTCTCTACCAAATACTAGGAATTTTTTTAGATTTTTTTTTCTATAATAGCACTTGCTTGACCGTGTCGTGTGACTCGTGTCCGAGACGGTTTTTTTACAACAACCCAGCGAGTTTGCATGCAAATCCCGATCCGTTATGGCTAGGAGTCAGATCCGATCCGAAAATCCTGCGATGGTGTATAAATCGAAGAGTCGAGCATACGTTCTCTAGCCGGCCGGCACAGTATTCGTTGATCCGTCCATCTCTCCGGTGCCCGGCGTGATGACGCCCGTGCGCCGAGCCCGCCACGCAGATCCCACCGGAAGTCCGTACCCCGACGGTTGGCTGTCGTACCGCCACCGCCGCCGCCGCCTCGTCGAAGGAAACGTACGCGCAAAATCCGACGTCAGTGGCGGCGCGACTCCATCTCCAACCACTCTGCCCGACGACGTGCTCTTTGGGATCTTCTCTCGCGTCTCAGGCTTCACCGACGCCGCGCGCTGTGCCGCGACGTGCCGCCGCTGGGCCCGCGTAGTGGCCACGCGCGCCGCCCCCATCTGCCGTGCCCTGCCACCGCCCCCGCCCGGTGGATTCCTTCCTCACCTCGCGATTGGCGCCTTCCTCCAGCACCAGGAGAACGACGGCGCAAGCCGCCGCCGCCGCGCTCGTGGGGGAGAACCGGCGCAGCTGCGCTTCGTCCCGACGGCATTTGCCTCGCGGCTCCTGGGCCCGTTCGCCGGCCTCCTGGGCGAAGGAGGCGCCTCGTTCGACAACGCCCGCCCTGTCGCGTCCCGCAACGGCCGCGTCGTCCTCCAGCTGGGGCGCGAGGCGCGCGCCGACGGCCTCACCCTTTGCGTGTGGAACCCCATGACAGGGGACGTGGCCATGGTCCCAACCCTCTCCGGCAAGGAATTCCCAGGCACGACTACGCATGCGCGATACTCACCGGCGATGACCTCGTTGACGACGTGCCGCCGGGTTTCTTCCGCCTACTCCTTGTCTACGGTCGCCGAGGCTTCACAGCGCTACGGTCCTTCTCCTCGGACACTGGCAGCTGGGGTCCCGAATGCAAGAAGCCCGGTGCCAAGATCAGCGGCCACGTGCTCCGTCAGCTAGGCCCGGCCGTCGTGCTCCACGGCGTGGCCTACTGGCCCATGCATCGTGCCGCGTTCGGCGTGCGGCTCGGCAGCACGGCGGCAGTGGCGGCGGCGACCATGGACGTGTGCTCGGTGCCATACAGATACAGGTTAACGAACTGGAAGCCGGACGAGTACGTGCTGGGCGTGTCGACGGATGGGAGATTGAATTTTGTGGACATAGGGATTATCGGAGGCCGAGGGGTGCCCATAATTTGCTTCTCAACCTCACTGCTTGAGGACGCCGTCGGCTACAAGAGCACCACCACCTCCGTTGATCGAAGTGACGAGGACATCTCCATCGACTTACCCCAGATCAAAGCGACGAGGACAACCCCCATGAAGCCGTGGTGGTTCGGTGAGAAGAGTGGCACGCTCATCTTCACTGTGGAGGAGACGAGCAGCACAAGTGCCGTCTTCGCGTTGAACGTTGCGACGAGATCACTGGAGAAGCTGGCCGATGGCGTTAGCAATCATACGTGCTGCAGAAGACTGTATGGTTATGAGATGGATCGCGCTGCGCTTCTTGCCTCGGTAGCTCCTCAGTAGCATGCCCGTGCGATCTCTCTCCATTGATGTCAAAATTTAAAGATGTTTGTATTTATTTGTCAACAGATTTTTTAGTGCTAAATTTGTCAATTTTTTTATATGTTTGGTTGAACTTTTGCTTTAACGAGATGCATTTGCCCACCTTTGACAAAATAACCATGCTTGAAGAGAACCTGTCGTGGTGCATAAACACGAGTTTATGGACTCAGATAAGATTGCCTTCCTGCAGGAAATTACTGGTATCAAACAACAAATGGAGGCTCGGTGGTTAGTCCTTGGGGACTTTAATATGATCTACGGGGTTGAGGATAAAAATAATCAGCTTGTAAATTTTCGGATGCTTAATAGGTTCAAGAACACAATTGACAACTTGCAACTGGCGCCGCTGGCTCTACATGGGCGACGCTTTACATGGTGTAATGAACAACAGGACCCGACGATGACAAAGATCGATCACTTCCTGGCTTCCGCGGAATGGTTAGAGATATTCCCAAGAACAGACCTTCAGGCCATGGCATCCTTAGGATCGGATCACTGCCCCTTGTTCCTGCAAGGTGATATTTCTTTCGACTTCAGCTGGGGGTTCCGTTTTGAGGCACATTGGGTTAACATTCCAGGTTTTTTTTGACGCGGCAAAGACGGCTTGGGAACTTCCGGTCAACACACAAAATGCAATGCTACGCATGCATGTAAAGCTACTGCGAACCGCAAGACACTACTGGAAACAGTGAAAATGCCGAGCGCTTTATGTTTGCCGAGTGTATTATATCGGGCACTCGGCAAACGACAGCTTTGCCGAGTGTTTCCTCCGAGACACTCGGCATATTTACCATTTGCCGAGTGTCAACACTTGGCAACCATCAGATACCCGGCATATTTAATATTTGCCGAGTGTCAACACTCGGCCTCTATGGGACACTCGGCAATAACCAACACGTAACCCGCGCGTGTGCGCCGTCCTAACGGACGGCGTGCCGGCCGTTACTACTTCGCCGAGTGTCTGTTAAAGACACTGGCGAAGTACGTGTTTGCCGAGTGTTTTTGCCGAGTCTTTTCTGCCGGCACTCGACGAAGTATATGGGTTTGCCGATTGTTTATGGAGACACTCGGCAAATCCAAAACTATTTTTTCCTCCTCGGCCCCCACAATTTTTCTACTCCCCACATACGACATTTGGTACTGTATGTTAAAAGTTGATCTATTTCTTGCTCTATTTGTTATATTTAGTGAAATGATTTCATTTTGAGTAATTTATTGATTTAAGTGAAATTTGAACTGCAAGTGATTGAAATAATAGAATAAAATGAGTGGAAAATCATATTCATGTCATTGAGTCCGGATTGATGTCTCATGCAGGAAATAAAAAGAAATTTTGAATATTTTGATCAGGAAACACAACCACGAACGAGTGTCCGAATGATTTTTAAATTCTACAAAAAACCAAACGAAGTCTGAAAATCACAAGATTTGTCAAGATGTCATGATATCATATGTGGAGGTTGTGGTAAAAAATTGAGAATGTTTTGCACAATTTGTGACGTATGATGCTTACAAACGGAAGCATCTCCGGAGAAGATTCATAGAACTTAGAAGGATCCGGTAAGATTTGGAGTCCAAGTGACATGTGAATTGGGGTTTGAGTTCAAAATTTTTTTTATAGGCAATACACAACATAGATTGGTTCATGTCAAATTTTGACAATTTTTCGGATCCATTTGATATTTATTATTTATTAATTGCAATTATAGAATTTTAGTTGATATAAATTAATTTTGAGCTATAACTGCATGAAATAATGAAATAATATTAGTAGAAAAAACAAATATGCATTGTTGAGTAAAATTGACAAGTTTCTTTCAAAATATATAGGAAAAAAGTTACTAAAACCAGCTATTAAAGGTATACATGAAATATTAGCGTAATTTGCCGAGTGTTTCTATATAACACTCGCTAAAGTAGCTCTTTGCCGAGTGTCTTCTACAAAACACTCGGCAAAGTCTGGGTGCTGGCCCACTGCCAGGCAAGTAGACCTTTGAAAATTTAAAAAAAGGGGGTATGCCGAGTGCCAGATCGCGGGCACTCGACATAGCCCCTAACAGTTAACCCGGCGCGACCCCGCACGCCACACACACACGCACACAACGCACACATGCCACAGACACACGCCGCGACCACCTGACCCCGTCCCGCCGGCACCCCCGCCGGTGGCCCCCCCCCGCTCCATCCCCCGGCGGCGCCCCCAGCGGTGCCCTCCCGGCCCCGGCGGCGCGTCCCGGCCCCCCGGCGTCGCCCTCCCGGCCCCGGCGCGCCACGCCCGTCGCGGCTCCACCAGACGGTGCCCCCCCCACTGACGGTGCCTTCCTGGCCCCAGCGCGCCACGCCCGCGCCATCCTAGGTAATTCTAAAATTTTTGTTGTTCTAATTAATTAGAAATGAAATTAGAAATTAGAAATTTGAAAAGCAATTAGCAATTAGAAATTTGAAATTAGAAAATAGCAAATAGAAATTAGGAATTAGAAATTAGCAATTAGAAATTAGTAATTAGAAATTAGAAATTTAAAAAGAAATTCTTAATTTTTTGTTGTTCTAGTTAATTAGAAACGAAACTAGAAATTAGAAAGATGATTTAGAAAATAACTTAGAAATTAGAAATTTGAAAACCAATTAGAAATTAGAAATTATAAAAAGGTAGGATGAATTAGAAATTAGAAAAGAAATTAGAAAGTGACAGAAATGGACTTTTTAGAGAAGATTGAGAGGTAGTAGGATGTCTATAGAGGTGATACGACTTTTTTTTAGAAATTAGAAAAGGATAAGCCATGAATTATTTGCTTTCTTGTGAGCTATATGTGGTTGTCGGCCATCGTGCCGTTCTGTTGGTGTGGATGTGGTTGTTGGCCATCGTGCCGTTATATTTGATGCAGGTTTTGGAAACCTCCCCGTGTAGAGGAGGTGCTGCCAAAATTTCGACTTGACACTACTATGTTCATTTTCTTGCAGGAGAGACTCACAAGAACCGTCCTTGACTCTTCACTTTGCCGGATAGCAAGGTGAGGCATCATACACCTCTCTTTTTGTTTGATGTTCGTATATCACGTAACCTAGTTAGGCGTCTCCCATTCGAAACAGATACGGTTGAAAATATACAAATTTTTGCATATCTATAACCGTATCTGTTTCGAATTGTCCACGTTTTTTGGACAGCCCGAGGATGTTTAGCGGGTTTAGTTTCCATGGTCTACTCCGATCCGAGATAGAGTTTCGGCGGCACCTCCCTGTTGTTTTCCGAATACACAATCTCCCTTTCGGGACATGTATTTGGAGAACAGCGGGGAGGTGCTGCTGAAATTCTATCTCGGATCGGAGTAGAGCATGGAAACTAAACCCACTACACATCCTCTGGTGGGATTATGACCTATCTTTACCTAATAGACATTATAGGAACATGTAGATGCAACATGATTTTATATATTACTCGCTGATATGCTAGAGGATGGGTGACCGTGAGTGGATGTACACGGGCCGCTCTAGTCAGAATTCATTGACCAATGAATGGATTGACAAGACGGATGCTTTCTTGGAACGGGCGTTTGCAATTGTCAAAGGAGCTAGATCGACTTGGTGTCCGTGTAGCAAATGTGGAAACATGCATCGACAAACCAAGCTAGACATGGGCAAACATCTTGTGAAGAATGGATTTACGTCAGACTACACCAGGTGGATCTATCATGGTGAAGCCGATCGTGGGAGAGACAAGGTCTTGAGACAACGCATCGAGGAATATGATGATGATACCGAGGTGGGAGACATGTTAAATGACTACCATGAAGCACACTTCGATGAAGCAAGTAGGGAGGAGGAGCCAGAGGCTACTGCAAAGGCGTATTACGACATGTTGTCTGTGGCACAGCAACCCCTTCACGGGCATACCAAGGTTTCTCAGCTGGATGCCATTGCACGCCTAATGGCCGTGAAGTCTCAGTTTACCTTGAGTTGAGACGCCTTCGATATTATGCTAGCAGTTTTTGGCAGCCTGCTCCGGATGGTCACATCTTACCAAAGAGCATGTATGAGGCACAAAAACTCCTTCGTGCACTTAAGATGCCATACGAGCAGATACATGCTTGTCCGAAGGGATGCATCTTATTTAGGAAAGAGTATGCAGAAGTAAAGTACTGTGTGAAATGCGAATCATCTAGGTTCCTGGAGGTATACTCTGGTGATGGTCAGAAGAGGCAGCTCGCAATCCCCGTGAAGATCCTACAGTACCTTCCTTTCATACTAAGGATCCAGTGGCTTTACATGACTGAGGAATCCGCAAAACAGATGACATGGCACAAAAACGGACGTTGATATTATCCTGAGAAGATGGTACACCCATCCGATGGTGAAGCCTGGACAAGGTTTGATGAGATTCATCCTGAGAAAGCTCTAGAGGCTCGTAATGTACGTGTTGTGCTGGCAACAGATGGGTTCAATCCTTACGGAATGGCGGCTGCCCCGTACACCTGTTGGCCCATGTTCGTTATCCCCCTCAATCTCCCCCTAGCGTCCTCTTTCAACGACAGAACATATTCTTGTCGTTGATAATTCCAGAACACCCGAGAGAATAATATGAGTGTGTACATGGAGCCTCTGATTGATGATTTGGTCCATGCTTGGGAGGAAGGGGTATGGATATACGACCGAGCTACAAAGACAAACTTCAAGATGCATGTTTGGTACTAGTACTCCCTACATGACTTGCCGGCATATGGGATTTTCTGCTGCTGGTGTGTTCACGAGAGGTTCCCATGCCTAGTATGCAAGGCTTCTCTGATGTTCATTTGGTTGATGAAGGGTGGAAAGTATTCTTCGTTCGATGGTTCGAGGCTATGTCCTTGAGCATGTCTGGCAGGTGCTAGCGGAGTTGAGCAATTTCTTCCGCCAGCTTTGTGCCAAGGAGTTATCTTGTACCGTGGTTGCAAAAATGGAATAAATGGTGCCTGTGTTGCTCTGTCAGTTGGAGAAGATCTTTCCACCCGGCTTCTTCAATCCGATGCAGCATATGATTCTATACCTCCCATATGAAGCATGAATGAATGGGGGGGCCTATGCAGGGCCGTTGGTGCTATTCAATTGAGAGATGTCAAAAGGTTCTTCGAACTAAATGTAAAAATAAATGCAAAATTGAAGCATCCATTGCAGAGGCATACATTCTGGAGGAGGTGTCAAACTTCACAACAAAATACTATGCCGACAACCTTCCTAGTGTGCATAATCCATCATCTCGTTACAATGCCGACGGAGATGAATCGAGCCATAGCATTTTCCGAGGTTAACTCGGAAGTGCAAGTGGTGCGACCCACAAGATCTTGAAACATGAAGAATGGTGCATTATCATGCTATATGTGTTGAGCCATACATGCTGTAAGTTCTCAACAAACTTGTTCTCAACAAACTTGTTCTCAAGTAGTCGCTTTTCTATGTCCAACTCCCATGTTTCTTGTTGGTACTGGGAATTTCATCGTCAATTCTGGCGTAAATCAAGGAAACCTACCCCACATGAAAGTGATGCCCTTCTCAAAGAGGGTGCGGGAAATGGAAAGCCCGATTTCATTTCTTGGTTCAAGCAGAAGGTACAGTCTA